CTCTCTCTCTCTCTCTCTCTCTCTCTCTCTCTCTCTCTCTCTCTCTCTCTCTCCACATGCATACACACTTGTTAGATTAATGAACATGTCTTTAGGTCTCAGTAGACCGTGTGTTGGTGGCCAGGGGACAGACAGGAGCACCCTGGGAAGGAAAAGCATGGCTCTGCTTGCCATGGTTGGGATCCGTGGAGTGTATTGAACCCTCCAGCTTCCCTTAGCCATGGCCATAACATCCAGGGTTTCTAGAAAGTTCCCTCATAGGATACTAGCAGGACTGCCCAACTTCTGTTGGCGTCCCTGGGCAGTAGTGATTCTCAAGGTCCAAACACAGTCCTTCGTCATCTTTGGCTCCTCATCAGTGCCCTTGACTTTCCACCCACCGAGCTTTTCCATCCCTTTCTGGCTGGGCAAGCTGGGATTGTTTTTGCAGGCTCCTCTAGGGGGAAGTGACGTCATGTGGTGTCCTCAGCCAGAGGGATGGGGGTAGGGGCTCTGCGGTTGTGTGTGCTTTGAATTAAGTCAGCGCTTGTGCATTCCAGTAGCCAGCATCTGGCAGTGAATTCATCAGCCAGTGTCGCACTCTTGATGGCAAACCCAGATGTGGGGTTAGCGAAAGGAAAAGAGGAAAAAGCAAATTTTGAGCTGTGGGGGCTGGGGTGGGGGACAGTGGTTGGGGCACAAAGCAGTTGAACAGGAGTCTCCTGCTGCCTTGCCTAGCTCCTTAGTTAGGTGGTGGGGCAGAGATGGATGTGGCTGGCCCTGCCCTGGTATGGCCCCCCAGCCTAGTATGGAAGTGTCTAGTCAACAGACACTCATGCCTTGCTTCTAGTTCATCCCAAATTCTTTGAGTCTGAATTTCCCTGACCTTCAGCTGGTCTGGGACTCAGGGAGGCTATTCATTCTGTGAGGTGGCCTCCTTTCCTCTACAGCCCTCGTGGTCACCCTGGAGGTCACAATGATGACTACTGCCGTGTGTGGGTGTTATAGGGAATTCTTTATTTCCTTTCCTTTCCCGTCTTCCACCCAGGATTTCCTGTCCGTCTGTCTGCCCGTTGCATAGATCAGACTTCCCTCTAAGGCTGGGACTATGAAAGCTTTTACTGGCAAGACCTCCTCCCCATTCCCCTTCCCCACCCAGTGATCTCACCAGGGGACAGCTACAGCTAAGACAGGTGTCTGCTGCAGCCAGCGGTGATAGCCCGTGGGGGTAGCCTCCTGTTGCAGCAGGAACGCTTAGCTTAACGGGAGAGGAAACCATCCAGGCTTCTGCCCTAAAGGCTCTGTAGTCTGGGTCCCTGTGGCTAGCCAGAAGCAGCCTGGTTGTCGATGGCGATTCTACCACCTCTGCCCCTCTCCCACTGCCTACAAACATCCTTGGCCTCCCCTCCACCCCCACCCATTAAGGAAAACCAGCATCTCATTTCTCTTCTGAAAAGTTCAAAAGAGGAATAGTAAGGCCCACAGCCCCAGGCGACGTGAGCTCACAACCAGATTCTCCTGAGCCAGGGCACCAGGGCCAGCTTTCCAGATCCTCGTCTTGTAGGAGCAGAGAAACCTGCCCTGTTCACTCCTCCACGATGTGTTCCTTACACTCCATGGCCTCGCTCACCCTCCCCATCACCTTTAGACACCTGATGGTGACATCTGTGCTACATGTGCGACCCAGCGATCTCTGGTGAGCACTTGCTCATCTCGGAAGCACCTTTCACACACATTCCCAAACTTGGTGGCTTCTTGGCCTTTTGGCTTAGATCGTGTCATGGACTCAGGGGTGTGTGGGAACTTGGGAGATCCCCTAAGGCAGCAGTTATTGGGTCCTCAGTGCTGTGGGACAGAATGAGAAGTCACTGGGCTTATTTTCTGATTGGCAGGTGGGCGGTGCATTCTCGTAGCCCAGGGTAGCCTCAAACTCTATAACAGTTCAAGGGAATGCTGAGATTCCAAATATGTGCTGTGTCCGGCTGTATGTGTTGGGACTTGAACTGAGGGCTTTGTGATTGCTATATAAGCCCTCCATCAACTGAGCTACAACTGAGCTACAGTCCCAGCCCTTAATATTCCAGCGAGCGTTAAGCATTGTGCAGTGTAGTGGACCGCTACTGAGAAGCAAGGCTACCAAGTGCTCTAGGCCGGTAGAGCGAGGTATACCGACTTCCTTTGGGACCCCCTACCCGCTCTTGTTTCTGAGCTGATGATTGTGCTCAGACAAAGAACAAACACATGGCAGTGTTTACCTGGCATGCTTACACATTTGCATTAGCATTACAGTGGCGGATTTATAGGGTACACAGAGGGGACCGAGGACCAGCGCGCCTATGCTGTCTTCCCAACGCTGTCATTGTCAGCCCAGCTCCATCTGGTAGTTGCTTTCTGAGCCCCAGCCATTCCGTAGCACGGCCTCTACTCGTCAGGACCTCTCAGCGGACAGGTGCACAGACGTGCACAGCAGAGTGTGCGAGAGATGAGCGAAACGCCCATCGCTGCGGAAGAAGACAGGAAGGGCAGGGGACTGTCTCTCAAGGCTGAATACAAGTTCTCCAGGCAGGGACCTGGAGGTGACATTTTGGGTAGAAGAGCTTCCCTGGTCCAAGGTGGGACATATCTGGATATCCTGGCATGTGAGGGACAGGGGAGCAGGATGGATTAGGACAGAGCAAGGATTAAGTGGGATTGCAGAAGGTGCAGCCCTGGCTGTCCTGGAACTTGCTCTGTAGACCAGACTGGCCTCAAACTCAGAGCTCCTCCTGCCTTTGCTCCCTCCCTGTGCTTGGGTTAAAGGTGTATACCATTACTCCTGGCTCAAATTTTCAGTGAAGGCATTTTGCAAGAAATGTTTATGAGAAAGGCACAGACCAAGAGAACCCTCTGCTCTGGGGTGGCCTGCCAGGTAGCTTTTTTTTTTTTCCCAGGTTGTAACTGTTTGAAGTGAGGCCTGCTTTGGGCTGGGAAACAGGAACCTGTGGCCAGGCCAGTGGTGACTCAGAGGTACAGAAGGACCAATGTAAATGGGCCTTGGAGCTGGGTGGGGCCTGGGCTGTGGTGTAAGATTTGGTGAGGAAGGATCTAGAGTGCATTGCTGGGGTCTGAAGAGCAGATGGCACTCCCACGTGCCCGGACCTCCCTGCCTCTGTGGGAAGCAGTCCTGGCCAGAAGTTTCCAAGACTCAAGCTGACCGCTGGAGACTCTGAGCCGGCACTGTCTGCCCCTTGTCTCCGTTGAACTCATGTGCACAGTGACAGAATGCTTGCCCAGAGTGACCCCGCACTGCTGCCTTTTGAAGGGCAACGCTTTTAAAGCCATTAAAACAGACCCTGACCCAGCTAACAACCTCCAAGTAAAGAAAAGGAGGCCTCTGCCTGTGGCAGGATCTGCTGAGCTTCAGTCGTAGGGTGTCCAGGGAGGGACCAGGGGCTTAGTTCCTAATAGAAAACCCATGTTAGACGCAACCAGACTCCAGAACATTCTGGAACTTTCCTTCTTTTGATCGTTGTCCTGGACACACTTCCCATGGGACCGTCTGTGTCTAACATTTGAGAGCCACACTAACGTTACTGGCCAGATCCATAGCCTGCATAACAGGCTTTCCAACTCCATGTCTGTCAACCTTCCCATAGAATGCGGGTTACTCTAAAGAATGTCCCACAAAGCCATGTTTGCTGTGGCGTGTGCTCGTAATCCCAGCACTGGGAAGGAAGACACAGGAAGAACCCAGAGGCTCGCTGGTGAGCCAGCTGGTGAGCTCCAGGCCAGTGAGAGACCCTAGGGCCGGTGAGAGACCCTCAGGCTGGTGGGAGACCCTCAGGCCAATGAGAGACTCTCAGGCCGGTGGGATACCCTCAGGCTGGTGGGAGACCCTCAGGTTAATGAGAGACTCTCAGGCCAGGGAGAGAGCCCAGTGAGAGACCCTGTCTCCAAAAGCAAGGTGGAGAGTCAGCGACGTGACTCGGTGTGTAAAGGTTTTTGGCATTACACCTGCTGACCTGAATTTGATCCCTGGAGCCCACATGGTGGAGAGCTGTTGGTCCCATAAATTGTCCTCTGGCTTTGACATGTTGGTTGCATCATGCAGTGTGCAAACCCCGCCCACCCCCATGAAATAAAAATGCAAAACAAAAACGAGGCAGATGGCACCTGAGAGATGATACATGAGGTTGTCCTCTGACCTTCACACGCATGTCTCATAGGACATTTCACATGGAAGCTTCTCTCTTCTGTATCACTAGGGAGGGAACTCGGGCCCTCTTGCATGCTAGGCTGGTGCTCCGTTCTGAGTTGTACCCTAGTACCGCAGTGGTGTGGTGATATTTTGTGTGTGTTTTCATAAATAAAGCTGGCCTGAAGATCAGAGTACGGAGCTAAGCACTAGTTAGCCATAGAGGCTGGGCAGTGGTGGCACACACCTTTAATCCCAGCATTTGGGAGAAGAGGCAGATGGATCTTTGTGAGTTCAGGGTCACCCTGGGCTTCACAAGATTGAATCTGTCTAAAAGAGAAACAGCTCACACAAAGGTGGTCCCAGGACTTGGGATCACAGGCCTCTAATCCCAGCACTAGGGAGGTGGAGACAGGAGTGATATGGCTGGGTGGAGAGAGGAATATAAGACAGAACACTGTACCGTACACATAATAAATAAATAAATCTAAAAAAGAAAAAGAAAGAACTCTAGCGACTGGCCGAGTTTTTATTATTAAGACCAATTAGAATTCG